GCAGTGTTTATTCCCCAAATCTTTTAAAACCATCTACAAAATTCCACTTTGTTTTGTTTTTGCTTCATAGGCTTCTAAATACAATTTCCAGGGCAGGTAAAATTATCTTTTGAGTGATGTCTTTAGAAAATATGCCTGAAGAGGCTGGTTTGTGTTTGCACAGACCTCCCTTGTGGCATGAGGTCCAGCTTCTCCACAGGGAAGCAGTGCTGGTGTGTAACACTGCAGCAGGGAGCCAAGGACAAGGCACAGTTTAAAAACCAGACCTTGGGGGTCTGTGTTCTTGCCCTGGAAAACTCTGGATAGCCTCCTACGAAAGGACAACTGATTCTGTAGCCTTTAGTAAGGCAGAATTTTAATTGTTCCAGGTCATGAGTTTCCAAACTCGGGGTCGTTATCTCTCTGTCTCTTTTTCTCTGGCTGGGTCAGAGGGGAGTCACAAAACTTTTCTGTTGCAACACGGGATCAGGAGGTGGCAAAGGTTGAGGCCTTGCTTCAGAAAATACAGGCCCCAGACCAACCTCCAAACCATGCCACGGGATCTGGTGGAGATCTGATCTTTTCACTGCTTTCTATAAAATTTCAAAAGTAAACAGATTAGGTCATTTAGTGGTCCTCTGCTGATTCAGTGCATTTGTGAGCTAGTTTTTAAAGGTTTGCTTAAAAATGCAGAAAAGTAATTCTAAAATGTAGTTTTAAATTTATTCTAAATAGAAAGATAGCTAGTAGGACTTTCAATTTTGTAAATTATAAATGTAATAAATAATTGGGGTTGATATTTCTAAATATTTTTTATTTCAATAATTAATTACATTTTTATCTGAAGAAAATGTAATTTTTATTACAAACAGACCATCTACATTTTATCTTCTGTAAATTTCTTTTTTCATATCAAATAGCAAGATAGATTGATCCCAGGTATTTAATTATTAATACTGTGGATACACAGTGCACTTCAGGAGTCTCAGCTCTGAGGCCAGCACCCCAAGCTGCATGCAAACCTGCTGGGAAAACCAGTGTGAGGGAAAGAGATCAAATTTTTATAACACAGATGTTTAGGAAATCTATCAATGTTTTGTCTAATCATCATTAATTTAAGTAAAGCATACAAAATGAACATACATTTAAAGTTTAAAAAATATGCATGATATCTAAAGCAGCAGAAAACTGTCGGTTGTACTGCACACCAGAGACAAACAGGAGCTCTTTCTGTAAGCTTATTGATGGGAAAAAAATGTGAATAAAAATAGTGCATGAGGAAGGCCTACAGAAGCGTAACTGTGTTCTTTAACACTGCTCATTAATCATTTAAATAGTGCATTAATTCTATAGCTAGGTTATTGGTGCTAGAAGCAATGCAAGTGAATTTTATATATTCTCAGTAGAGAGCCAGATAGAATCTATTTTAAAAAATAATCTAAAAATAGATGATTAACAAAGTGTGATCTTTACATCTTACTGGAAGTAGCTGCACAAAATTACGTTTTAATTTAAGAGCTTTTAAGTAACAGTTGGTAAGAAGCAACTGTGGTATTTCAGCAGAGCAGAGCTGATCTTTGCTGATGTTTGGATACGTTTCTCTTTTCCCTTAAAGCAAGATCCTCACATTGATCCACTTTCTCATCTCTGATTCTGTGCTCTTACATTCTCAGAATACTAGAGAAGCGACCACAGGAATTAAACCAATCCAAATCTGACAGCTAGGAAGACTGGACAAGTCTGGAATGTATTCACAAACTAAGTACTAATATACGCTAGTATAAGTAAAAAAAAAATATTTCTACAGTTACATTTTTAACTTAATTGGCTTATGAAAATTTAATCTTTCATAAATGCTGCTTCTGAACAGTATTATGTTCATGGAAAATAGTAACTGAAAAGCATATTAACACCACAGTTCTGACCTAAGCTCCTCCAAATCAGATTTCAGTCTTAAACAAGTGAGGAATTTGTTGCACTGATGTTTGGATACATCCTATTTCACTTTTGTTGCAATTATATTGCTAGAAAATGTAAAATGTGAGAATTCTATAGAAAAATTTTGATAACTCATCCTGGTATTCATTTGCATATATGTACAGATCCTGCATAAAGTCACCAGATAAATCACATGCCAACAACTTTGCTTTAACAGTGTGTCACTGTCTCACTTCAGGAGAATTTCCAGGCCTTTTTGAAACAGTCAAATTGATTCAGTCTGTATAGGTCAACTCTTAAAATTAACCTGACTGCAGTAACAATGTGATCACAATGTGAATGTCTGGATGTTTATGTGCAGCTGAAGCAGGTGATTAACTGGCATTAAATGTCAAAACTATGACAGACACCTTTACACCAGCTGAGCTCCCGCATGTATGTTATGTGAATATGCTGTATATGTGAAACATTGTATAAATTACAATTTGTATTATGTGTTCATTCACTGTTAAATATCTGTGCAGTATATTTGGAACCACGAGAAAGTTCAGTACCTCTAACAGTGTTTTCAACACTTTCTAGAATCCCATGAGAAAAGTACAGCTGTGTAACTTTTAAGTAAAAATAATACTTCAATTCTTTAGGATATTGATACCAAAATGTAAATAGTAACATGAACTTAAACAGGTTTACACTGCCTTACCCACAATAATATATTCCACAACTTTTACCTGTACAAAAATCAGCAGTCTTTAAATTGAATCACAGATGAAGACCGTGCACGTGTGGACACACATAGACACACAGAAAGCAACGTTCAAGAGATACATTATAATGAATATTTTGTGAACAAAAAAAGGAGGCGGGGATTGATAATACAAATGCTACCAGGGTTTAAAATTTTTTCAATGTTTAAACTGCCTCTCTTTTCTAGGAACCGTCTTTTCTCCCAATTCACCTGTATTGCATGACCACCCTTTGAAAGGTGACTTTTTCTTCAACTTTTGCTGTTTTTTTAAGAGAAATACACCACCAACAGTTAGAAAACTTTTCTGTTTAACTTTCAGAATTATTTTATTTTCTATCCACTTTTTTATTGCTGAAGACAACATTAAAGCTAGAACATGATTATTTATTTAAAGTGTATAATAGCCCTTTACTAAGTGCAGCAGAAGTTTACTACTAAGTTTACTGTCCAGTGTAAGAGCCATAATGTGCTGTTTTCTTTTGCAGAACAAAGTGACCACCAAAAGCGGGACTTTGTGGGCCAGTTGGATAAAACATAAGCTCATCTCGCCCCCAAAACCCCGACTCTGGAACCACAGCCTTCCAAGATTCAATTTGTAAGTAAAGTATCTTTGTAAGATATGCCAAATCAACTGATTCATTGCTTATAGAGTGGGTAATTTTCAGACTAATCAAAAGAGAACGTTATAGCCCAGTCACAATACATCCTCCTTCACTTTCTGGACAGCAGGAATTGCCAACAGATACGAATTGATTTTATTAATATTTTATGAACTATTTGTCAAGAAGGTAAGAAGCACCTTTTCTAAGTGTCTATAAAATGACACAGAATAACAGTTATTCGACCCAGCACTCAAAATATCTATTAAGATTTCTTCTCAAAGTATGTAACAAGTTATTATTTATCTGTTTCACTGTATTTCAGACTAAAGTTGACACATAGAGAAATTTCTGTCATTTTTCTAAATTTGTTATTTGTACAATATACTAGAAATTATTTTCACTTTACTTGAAAACAGGTATCTTCCTACTAACAATTATAGTCTCAAGTATTCAGCTCTACATCATCACCTTACTACCCTCAATATTATGTTTCATATGATCCTTCACAAATGAGAGGAAAAGTAGAAATTCGCAGACAAAAGGAACATATATTCTAAATCTTCACTTTATAATTCCAACAGAGCTTCTATATAAAATCCATGTTTAAAAGCATTATAGTTTACACTTGGATGGCTGAAGTAGGTTAATGCTGTCAGTTACTTTAAAAGATAGTAATTGCTGTCCTTGAAAAGCCACTATTATATTCATTCTATTTTCGATAATCAAAATGTGGAGCTGAAGAATGCTGTCCTAGCTGAACTGCCTTAAAATCACCAAATACATGCTGAAAGGAAAACGCAGAGAAGTTGATGGAAATTCTGGCTAAGTAGAAATGTTTAAATAATTCCTCTTTCTACAGACCATACATTTTATTTACTGACTTATTTACGGCTGTGATGATTTAGGAGGTTTTTCTGGCTTGCACACGACCTGATCAGACGGTTCGTATGGACACCCCTCCGCACGCGCATTTGTGTAGTTATTTGTGCCTGGCCAAAGTCGCCGCAGAAGCCACGCGGAGGCAGCGGGACGGGAGCGGTGGCCGGACCCCGCGGGGAGCGGACACCTGTAGCTCCCGAGGGTGCCGGGCGAGCCGCCCCTTCCCCGCGGGGCGCGGCGGGCCCGGCGCCCCGCTGCTCCCCGCGGGCGGGCGGGCGGCGCGGAGCGGGGACGCGGAGGGAGAGCGCAACTCACCACTTGTCAGTGCCCGCGGCGGTGCCCCGGCGAGCCGGGACCGGGAATGGATCAGCGCCCGCAGCGAGCGGGGATCCATCCCGCGCACAGGCAGCCGCTCGCCGGGCAGGTCCCCGTTCTTGAAAGGAGACAGCCCTCCGGTCCTCGCTCCAAGCCGGCTCCTTCCGTTGGCAAAATCCTGACTCATTACATAAAAAGATCACTCTGCCAGGCGCCCTGAAACATTTCTTCATCACGGTCACGCCACAAGCTAAACAAGAGGCCACATCAAGGGGAGGGGGAGAGGGGGGAAGCGGAGAGGAAAAAAAAAATCCCAGAGGGTTTTTTTTTTCTTTCATTAAGATCCTTTTCCTTGAAAAAAAGGGGGGGAAAAGTGCAGGGAGGAAAAAAACCCAAAAAACCAAAAACCAAAGAGCAGCCACTAGGAAAAAAAAAAATTAGGAAAAAAAAAAACTAGAGAGGATTCACTCATTGTTGCCACAAAGACACCTCTCCCCTTCCCACTCCTTCTCCATGCTCATTCCTCCAACAGTGCTACAAAGACGTGCCGTCTGCGCCGGGAGTTGTGAGCCCGAGCCGTGAGCTCCTCAACTCCGCGGGGGCCGTGCCAGGAGACCCGGGGCGCACAGTCCTCTGCGAGGAGGTGTGGTGAGTCCAAGACCGTCCGAAAATTATTTTTTTTCCTAGAAACTACCACCAAATATAGTAACAGGGAAGGGGTATTCCTAGAAATTCGGGAGACGTCAGAAAGGGAAGATTTGTGAAATTCAGCTTCACTTCCTGCAGAGGGCTCCTAGCACAGGGATAAAAAAAAAAAGGCAATAAAGTGCTTTTCATGCTTCTCTGATCAGATAATGGTTAAAAAAAAGAACGGTAAAACACTTAACTCACATTTCTCCGATACAATCTAATAGTTTTATATGGGAAGAATGCTAATCAGTAACCTCCTTTCCTCATTTTCTAATAATGTTTATTAGATATCTATCGCCTGTATTTATTTTCTCCACATCCTCGTATCAGACCTATGCACACAGCAAATAAAAGAAATATGCATATGAGTGAAAAACGGGCCAAATGATAACCCTCCCACATATCACAGAACACTGAGTGTCTGTGTGTTATTTTAAACAGGCTTTTGCCGTTTGCATCTTTCATGCTACACCGATGTGAATAATTCATGTCCCCACTGTAGATGTGTGCAATATTGTTACTCGCATGAATCGGAATTTGTGGGCTGGCTTTTATTTAAGGGCTGTAACACTGAGTACTGCTGAGCACTGTCAGTCCCCGTGGATTTAATGGTATCTTAGGCTCTTAATTAATTCAGTTCAGCAATTCACAGGATCAGGCCCTGACCGACAAACGCAGACCTGCACGCTGTCAGGAGCCACATTATTCCTCATGTGTCTCCTAAATCTCTGTTTGCTTTGTGCTAGTGTCTAACACCCAATGTGTCTTGACTCATATCTTCTTTAAAAACACTATTTGATATGTTTCATAGGAAGCAGAATTGAATGTTTGCAAAGCAGAAACAAATGAAGATGTTATTAAAATCTTAATTATATAAAGATGTCAGTGCATTTGTAATAAAGCATTATTTATCCAGGAATAGCAAAGGTTGCTATAAAAACCACAAAGCCAGCTTTTGGGGGAAGATAATAGATTTCAATGTGTGCAACTCTTGCAGGTTAATTGGATTTCCTTAATGAAATTCCCCTCAGCCACATGAAATCCTTGAGTTTGTTCTTTGAATTTCATTATGACTTGCAGTCTTCTCTGCCCCCAAATCAAATGCAATAAAAACAGTGGAGTTGGCTTCACTTCAGTGTTTTATGAACACTCACATTTAATCAAAACTTGGTTACAGACACCTTGTCTGTCTGCAGCTTTGAAGGAGAATTAGCTGAGTTCACCTGACACTCCTGAGTGTGCTTTTACTCCTAAGTGCGTTTTAACTGTTATTGCAGTGCTCAGTAAACAATTGTGTCAAAATACAGACATAGGTTTCACTGACATGCACCCACAGTGTTTCGTTAGTAATAATGCCTGGTTAGAAGTAGATTTACTTTAAGTAATCTTCTGGAATTCAAAACAGCTCTAGTTAATTGCAAAAAGGCCTTTTTAATCTGGCTGGCTTACTTATGGCACACTGCTCCACTCTGCCTGTCACTCTCATTTCCTGAGTGAAAAAGTGAAGGGCAGCTTCAAGCTCAGGATCTTTTAATCATTAAAAGAAATGGATGTGCTGTCCTCTGTTGGTCATACTGGTTGTCACAACTAAAATTGAATTTAAAAGGCAGCAAGACGCTGTTATAGTGAAAAAAAAAAAAGAAAGAAAGAAAAAGAAATTAAATTTGCTTCACCTTCTGCCTTCACCAATAACACTGCACAGTGCAAGGGATTTTTTTTTTAATTATGTAATGATAGAAACTGGGTTATGGAGAGGACTTATTTCACATGACTGTAGTACAAATTCTGCCCTGGCATTGCCCGGCCCCGGCTGCTGGTTCACCCTCTGTGCCCGGGGGCCCAGTGGGCTGCAGTGCCCTTGGGGCTGCAGGGCTGCCAAGCGCGTGGCCGCGGAGGAAGTTTGGGGGTTAAATTTCACATGCCCCGTCTGGTGTGGGGACAGGCCCGAGTGTGCCCGTCGGTGCTCAGGGTGCTGTGGTGCCCTGGCAGCCGGCCGGCCCCTCTGGGCACGGTGGCGAGGGCAGGAGTGGGTGCGGCACGTTCCGCTCGGCTCTGCGGGGTCCCGGGGAGCCCTGCTGTGGGAAATGCCCTCTCTGAGCGCGGCTGCAACAGCGATGTGCAGCGTCTGGAGAGGACTGGGGGATTGTAGCAAGGGAGATTAAAGGTGTACAAAACCTGGCCTAAAAGGAGAGATTTTTAAATTTGGGCATTGTGTTGTCTAAAAAGAAGAAAGTTGAAGGCAAATAGAGCAACAGTGAAAAAAGGTTTAACATCAAGTAAATGAATCCATTGTGGCAGTAGACCCGTGTTATATGTTAATTATTTCTGCCTCTTAACTGCTGCTGGAGTTACTATTTCTGGGCTGCACAAGTTTCTCCTAGGCTTTGAGTGCACAGATAGTTTTCTAATTACAAAATTAATTGCAAGTAGATAACCACAGGATGTGTCTTAAAATGTTACTTAGCAACATTGTTATCATGCTAAAAGTTCAGCAATGTTACTTAACAAAATCTAAATTCTGTCTGCAAACTGTGGAAAAGCAGGCTTTGTGTTATCTGTCATCTAACACAGGCTCACAGGCCTCAAACCATTGCTAAGAGGGTCAGACACAGCCACAGCTCTTATGCATACCTGGCTTTGTCCTACAAATATATTATTTCTAAAAAACAAGCATGAATTTATGAAAGCTTTACTCATCAGTGGCAAGGTGGCTCATCTTCACCCTCCCTGAGACTGTAGTAAACAGAAAGCAGTATTTATCAGATATGTGCTTTGTCCTTGAGTTTGATTTTTTGCATTTAGTTTTTACAACCCTCCTATGAAAGTAGTTTCAGGGACATGGATGTACCTCACTGTCCTTTGTATCCCTAAGTAAAAAACCTAAGAATATTTACAAAATCCAGTGTAAATAGTTAAGGACATTTATTTCTGTTCATACAGCAAATAGACAGTTTATAATCCTGACAACAATGGTGCAGAATATGAGAGGAAGATTTGTCAGGCAGAGAACAAAATTGATCGTGTGGACACAGTGGTCAGTAAAATTTCAAATGGTAAGTAAATGTCAACCATGAATCAATAAAGATTTCCTTCAATTAGTCATTATTTTCCTATTTACACTGTTAGTATGTGTTTCAGTGCTGTCAACCCTTAACTGTGTGGGCAGGTTTGGTGCCTGGTCCTGACAGTGTCACTGACTTGGACCTCCTGGCCACTTTCGGTGCTGCTGAATCAGCAAAGCACCCAGTGTTTGTTTCAGCTGGAGAAGGGAGCACTGCTGGGGCCCTCTGAGTGTAACCACTTTCAGTGTCACAGGGAGTTGTTTTCGATTAGAAAATAGAAAATGTAAAGTACACACTAATCAGATTGCAAATAATTCTTCCAAGTGGTTGGTGGTACAATGAAGAAACCTTATGGTTAACTACTCAGAAGAACGAAATTAATAAATACTTAATTGCATGGTGGCAGGGTGGGGGTAAACCAATGAAAGGGACCTGAAGGATTACACGATGGTCTTGATAGCTGCAGCCTCTGGAGAGGGTTCTCTTCAAACAAGAATTTGAAGGAGCTGGAGGATCTCTTCAAACAAGATGCTGCAGAGGCTCCACTTGTTCCTCCCAGGAATGACTGCATGATAAGGTAGGCACCAGCACTTGCCTCAATAGTGCTGTGTAGAAAAGGCGTTTGACATGATTTCCACTAGGCCTCAGCAGTCACCTTGGCCTTTCACATTTCAAACCGTGTTTTGTTTCTTCAGGCTGAGCTGAGCATCTCTTGAAAGCAGGATTAGGCTCCAAGAAAACACGAAGAAACACTGTTCTGTTCCTGCAGATGTCAGAAGGGCTGTCATGCAGCCGCTGAAGCACAAGAATGACCGAGGTGGAGGCAGGGCTGGCACGACATTCACCAAAACCCTTCGCTGGAGCGGGAGGAGCCGCTGCCGCCGGCGAGACCCGAGGCTGGGTACCTGCGCTGGGGGAGCCCGGGACCCGCCCGGGGGCGTGGCTCTGCTGGCTCCGGCTCTGCGGAGCCGCCATGCCCGGTGTCGGGCGGGTCGGGCCGGCCGCTCCGCCGAGGGTCCCGGCTGGGCCGCCGGGCCGGGGCTCCGCCTTCGCGTAAAAAGGAGGGGGAAAGCTCCCGCCTGCGCGGACCCGCCAAGGCACGGACGGGGTTCGAACCCGTGATCTTCGGTTTACGAGACCGACGCCTTACCACTTGGCCACCGCGCCTGCGTTAAGGGCTCTTCCTGACGCCCTTCTATCGCTGGCGCCACTCCCGCCGCCCGCCCACGGCCCGCCCTCGCGCGCGCCTGGGCTGCCACCTGCCGGGGCGCGCGGCCCTGAGGCGCTGAGGGCGCGGCTGAGGGGGCGGAACGGGAGCAGGGACAGACGGAGCGGGACTGCCGCCGCTCCCGCTCTCTTCTGGCTCTCGCTCTCCCTTCGTCTCCCTCTGTGCTGCCAGGAGCGTCCCCTCCGGCTATGGAGGCGTTCTGTGGGCAGAGCCCTCTGCAGCGTCCGCCCCGGGGCTGTGAGGGTGCGGTACCGGGAGACGGCACTCGAGAGGCTGCTTCACAGCGGGCCAGCACGGCTTGGAGAGGGAGAAAAAAACGGGATTAAAATTTTCCTCCTCCAAGAAGAGAAGCAGGAATGCAAAACGTTTGGATAACTAAATGGTAAATACTAAATTAAACACACTTGCTGCCTGGTAGCTGTTCCCTCAAAAAGCTCAGTGTTGTGAATTGCAGAAAAGATACTAGATATTCTCTAGACGGGATCTCCTAGATTTTTACAAGTGTGACGTGAAAACAAAGGTTTTAGTTTTCATTGAATGCGTCTGTTTAAAGTCTCCATGAAACTGTTGCTTGATATCCAAGTTTTATATTACTTTTGGTGTGGTTTTGGTTTCCTTGTGGAGGAAACGTGTGAACATATTACACAGGTGCCGTTCTAAAGGTTTAGATCAGAGTACTGATTTGGTAGTGCTGTAATGCAGGTGTATTACAAAGTTGATACAGAACCAAAATAACTTGGCTTGGAAGAGACCTTCAAAGGTCCTCTAGTAGAACCACCCTGCAGTGAGGAGGGAAATACTTACATATCCTTTTGGGATGTTCTTTGAACTGTCATCTTGGAAAGTCATGCTTCATGCCTTGAATGTATGAAAATATTTTAGTTCTTTAAAACTTATAATTTGTTAGTTTGTCTGTGATAACTCTATGCCTGCCTGTATTTGAACAGAGTGATTTGAATTAGCTTGCTCTGCAGTGAAAAGTGTTTAATTTAAGTTACCTTAATGGATAGTCAGCCCTTGTTAAGTGTGTTTGCTGCTGCCTTGGATAAGCTTTGCTGAAAGTGCCCTGGTTTTCTAGTCCCTGTGGGCAGAACTGATGGCCTGGCAATCTGAATGCTTGCTGGCATTTATCTGCCAGTCTTCTTCATCACATGCCCTCATCTGGACTATGGAAAGCTGGGAAATGAGAATAGCACTGTTGGATTCTGCTTTTGTCTTGTCAGTGTAAACACTGCAGCATTTCAAAGTGTGATGGTGAGTAGGAGTGGGAGCTGCCTCCCTCATCTCTCACACCTGTGATGTTTATGAACAGGGTGACCTCAGAGAGCCACTTCTCTCCCCTGGCTGAAGGAGTTAGTATTGTCAAGCTGGCAGCAGAAAGGAGTTCAGTTTTAATTATTCATGTTTGACTGATGAGATGCCATTTCTGGCCTACTTGCTTATTACAAAATACGCTCTTTTATGTGCCACACTTGCCAGTTGTAACTTGTCATCACAGTTCCTGTGCAGCTCACATCTGTGTTTATGAATGGTTTTGGATCCTTGTGAGCTGAGAGGTAATTTGGTGGTGAGTGGAAGGGCTGTTTGAATTGTTGTTGGAATTCATGTGGGTTTTATCTCTTCAAACACAGTACATTGTAATAAATGTATTTGCTTGGCATTGGGAATAGTATTTAATGGTAAATCAGCTTCTCTTGATCAGGTTCTTCCTTAACTGTATGGCGAGACAGAAACTTCAATTTGAATTCATAATGATCTTCTAACCAGATTAAGAGGAAATGCTTGATAAGGTTTAAAAAATTTGTCTACTCTGACCCTAACTTCCTTAGTGTGTCTGGATAAACTGTTTATGTCTAAACAAAGTGTTGTTTAACGGTGAGCTGATTTATCACAATAGTTGTTATAATTAAAAAAGTTAACTTGCTTTTAAAAAACTGTAATTGCCTTTTGGTGTCTGGATACTTTTGTTTGGAAGTGTCTTTTATGCTGGCCCTTACCCTTGTTTGAGCTGGGTGTTAAAGCCCTTCCTCCATGCTGAATCCTTGTGCATGAAGGGCTGTTCTCTTCTGACACAAGCTTCTTTTAAACACAGCGTGGCTTTGCAAAAGGGAAGTCTTAGAGGACTCTATTGCTGAAAAGATACTGTCAGTGATTTTGTTGGATGGAGAAATAATCACCAGGTTTTTTTTTCTTTCTTCCTTTCCTTAGCCTCACACATGAGATGGAGGTGTTTCTTTAGGAAAGACTTTGGTGTCTGTTTCCATGTGCAAAACAAGGCCTTTCAACATGTTCCTGACTCTTCTGAGATACATACAGGGGAACAATTCGATTCATGTAGATTTGGTGCAATTGAGTTTTATATAGACTTGCTATGGCATGCTGAGGAGCATTCCAGCTCCTCAGTTGCAGCTACTTGAGCTTTGACTTTGTCTTAGCTGTATGTAAGAATGTTTCTGTTCGCCATTTTAGTTTCTAATCCACAGCACTGGTCTTGGAAGGGGTTCAAGAATGATGGCAGAATGGCCCTGCAGTCCTATTTCTGCACCGAAGACTGGAGACTCACAGGTAATTTTTTTACATGAAGGGAAGTATTTATCTTAAGAATTTCTCATTTCATTTATGGATAAACACTTGAAGAAACAAAAGCCCAAGCCCTGCCTGTGGGCTCTCAGAAGCTCTAATTTGTTACTTTGGTTTTGCGTTAGGAATGTTTTGGTAAAGTTGCTATGAAGACTGTACTTTGAGGAGTGGGGAAATCCATGTGTCTTCTTTGCCATCAAAGAAACATCTCCTACTTGAGACACTACAAATACTCTAGGAAATATGTCCCTCTGGCAACATCTGTACAATAAATCCCAAGCCAGTAGGCAGGAGCAAATGGCATTGAAGAGTAAAGACAAATGTGCTGATGGCCATCTGTAGAGCATGTTTGAATAAACTGAGTTGTAATTGAAAGTCAAGGTTTAGTCTGTGGAAAAAGTTCACTCAGCATAATCTCAAGCTTTATCAAGCCTTGTTTTGTGTTTACATTAAATAGTAATATGAACACAGCTTGTGAAAGAAGGTTATGTGTTTATATTTTGTCACTGGAAAACAATCAAACCCCAGACTGTCAGCTGGCACCAAAACAAATGCTTTATCTCTGTTATACTCCAGCTGTATAATATCCAGCTGTAATTTCTTTAATGCACAAATATATGGTCAAAAAGTGCTGCACTTGTTTTGCAATATTTGTGTTTGGTGTATGATATCAAAAGTTTGTGGCACATACAGCCTACAAACTTTTACAATGGTTAAAGTTCACAGAGAAAAGGTATGATATGAAATTTAAAGTGTTTATTAGTAATTTTAAATTTTTTTTCAGTTTTACTCACTTAATTACTACTTACTACTTTATGGAGTTTTTAATATTTGGCCAAATATCAAAACTTCTGATGTCATCAGTGTAGAACAGACATCAATGAGGAAAGGGTGGGTGATTAGTACAGGACTGCCTTCACAAGGGGAAGTGTAACACTAAATATTTGAATGAAACAGCTTCATCTTTAAAAGAAGCTTGTGCCAACAGCTCGTAGCTCATACTCCTGAAAAAATTCATTCAGGTGTTCAGAAGCTGAGCAGAATGCAAATCAAAAATACAGAATCTCATACAATCTCAAATACAACCCAACACAACTTGAAAACCTTGGAAGAATTTGGGAAAGTCATGTATTAGAGTGCATTACAAGAGGTTTGCAGTGAGAAGACAAGGGGAAGGGATCCAAACTGAAAGACAGTAGCCTTGGGTTGGGTATTAGGAGGAAGTTCTTTACTGTGCTGAGATACTGCAGTGAGTCACTCAGAGAAGCTGTGGCTGCCCCACCCTGGCAGTGTCCAAGGCCAGGTTTGATGGGGCTTGGAGCAATCTGGGATGGTGGAAGGTGTCCCTGCCCAGGGCAGGGAACAAGGTGAACTTTAAGGTCCATTGCAACCCAGGCCATTCTATGAGTAAATGATGCTACATAAAAAAATTGCTAAAAATAATGGGAATCCAAACCTAAACTTCAAGGGTACAGAAGTCTCTGTTCTTACAGATTTTGGCTCTGATTTTCAAGGCAAACCATAATTCCTTGGGGGTGCAGATTCATTCTTACTCCTTTCTGTCAGTAAGAACATAGGCCAAATGTATCAGACTCATAAAAGTCAAAATTATATTTTCATTTTAAGCAGTAACCATGGACAAGTGAACACAGTTTTCCTTTTTTATTTGAGACACTTAGCAAAAATGCTGAAATATCAAACATTTCCTCAGTAGCTACAATATTGCCACTATGTACAAAATATTTGATAAATGTAGTACACATATAAAAATACAGTATGCATTACATATATACAGTACAATGTGCAAAACATATGGCATTCAAACATATGGAATTGATTTTAGGGGTGCAAACAGCAAATACAAAGGCATCATGGTTCTAGAAAGGCAATACATAAACTGACGCCCTGATTGCCATAATTTGCATTTAGTAAAGTAGTGCTTAAATGAAGAGGGCCCCAGAGACAGGTGTTTATCTTCTTCTTTTCACAAAATGAGATGCTAAGACATAATTATGAATAGGAAAATAAGAAGAGAAACACCTACTAGGGTTAGCGTTATTTCTACTGCAAGCAGTACTGTGAAGAAAATCCTATCTGGAAAAAAGCCTGTGCTATTAGTTACTACAAATTTCTCAAACAACAAAAACAAATCTGTACTGTTAAACATCAAAAACAGCTTTGAAAATATCTACATCCTTAATTTTAAAAAAGTATGGATAACACTTTTGGGGACTTAATTTCCTATGTTTTAAAATACAAAGTGCCTCCTTTGGCAATATAAATGGCAATGCTTTGGTTCCTATTTAAATTTTTATATTATTATAATTTATTTTAGCCTGTCTTTTGAATATCTGAGCTGTATAATTTTATAAAAATAGTGTGATTATATAGTTATTAACCATTCCCTGCTTTTTTTGAGAACTTGCTCTCATAGCTAGAATGGCTTTTTTTGGCTAGATTTCTACAAATACATTTATGCACTTTTAACTTAAAAACACTTTATATTCAGTATTGGACACTACAGAATGATGTAGGTGTCTCTTTTTTGCACTTTATTCCTAGCAAACTGGTATAAAAGGAATATTTGAGATTATTTCCGGTTTTATGGATGCTCTTTATTGGCCATGTGTGTACTATATGTAACTCAATTTCACGGATCTCACATGAAATTCCTTCTGGGGTGTGGTCTAGAAGTCACTGAAAGGTGATTTCATAGACCACAATACCAAGAGTTTCAACAAAACATTTACTAGAGATAAGTGGAAGATTTTTTTTTCCAGTTTTAATAGAGTTTGCTTTAAGTTTATAATACACTTAAGATGCCATCCAAATAATAATTGTTTACATCTGTGAACTTTCCTGTGTTTTGATTACATAATGCCCTTCCAGTTCAATGTATCCTGTGACTGCAGTTTCTCTGCCTTGTGTTCTGATTACAGTGCCTACGCTTTTGAGGCACCTGAATGTCTGAGATTATGTAGCAGAAAAGTTTAATGTTGACACTTCTGTTTGGATCACCATCTTCTCTGAACATGACTCTTGTTGGTGAATTTAGAAATACCTGGGAAATAAATGTCAGTATTAAGTTGTGATCATTTCTAAAAGCTGTGGCCTCAGCTTTTTGAAGTTCTGATTATGCAGGTCTGCAAGCCCACGTTGCTGGATTACATTTTAAATTTCTGTAGAGAACAACTGCCATAATTTAATTTTATTGTCAGAGAGAGTATGACAATGCTTTTTAAACTATTTTTAATGTTAAGCAAAATTTTGCCTGTGAACTTCCTTGCTGTGACTGATGCTGAAGGGCACTAAAAGTGCACAGTAAATTCTACTGAACACAGGATGTGACTCTTCTTGAGTAACAGGAGCCTAGTAAAACATTGTCTGAGCTCTCTCTGTCTAGATGTGTAAACAATCAACTTCTGATTTTCATACTGATTAAAAGGTATTCTTAATTACTTTGAAGGACCCACTAACACCACATTTGATAGGATGCATTCTGTTAGTATACTGCAGCCATTAAATGGCAAATTTAGTGCCAGTGCATTCCTTTGCAACTGTTCTCTTAATGAGAAAGATTCAGTTCTGTGCAGTCAAACTGCACAGTCATGATTAAATTTCTAAGATGTATTTGTGCTACAAAAATTTTCATGTAAAACATGCACACACAAAAGTCTAAGCAAAACCTATTTCTGCCATAAACAGGCATACACAACTATGGCAAACATATCACATTTCAGAACAAAGTCTAAAGCAAACCATTTTATATAAGGTTTAATACATAATTCTGAAATGTACAGAAAAGTAATCACACATTCCCTACACTAGAATATTTGTACTTCAGAAACTAAAATGATCCCTTAATTTTTATTTTTTTTTTCAAATAGACGTTCAGAGCAGAAAGCTATACCGTACTGATAACAAGACATCTCAACTGTTTGGATTTATTTCTGCACAAAGATTCCTATGGATTAATTAACATTCTACACTGCCAATAAGGGTAAATTTGTAGCAAGATGACTTTGCCAGTTTCAAGCTCTATTTACATGCACATCAAAAATGACAGTACAGTTGCTCTAGGTTAATTTGTCCTCTAAAAATTAATTTACTTGCCTCTCATTTAATCAGGAGGCAGGGTCAAAAAGGGATAACTCTAACCACACATATATTGTATGATGTCTGGTGTATCACACATAATAAACTGACAGTACTGCAGAACACTAAATTTCACTCAGAGTTGTTCCTATCAGACCAAGAGTCCTTGATTCTTATTCTCGTAACAGCTGAGGGCACTTCGTATCTGAAAGTATCAGCTCCCAAGATAGGATGATGAACAGGAATGCAAAAAGTTGAATGTTAAGTGTTCACTGTTACTGAAAAGTCCTATACCATCAAAGCTTAAGGCAGACAGTCCACATGTAATATTGTACTCAAGTATTGTAGGCACAGCAAGAGGGAATAAGGAATTATGTCTTTCAACTGCGTGTAGTGAAAATCTCCAAAGATTGTTTTCTTGTACTTAGTTTCATATTACAGTAATTCTTGGCCAGTAAAACCAGTGAAGTTACATAATGATTTAAAGTGCTGTAATTGATATGATGCAAACGTACGGTATCAGTTCAAACTCTGAATCAATGATGTCATCCATTATTTTATCTGAAGCCAATGGAATTCTGTCAAATCAGTAAACCAGACTGCGTTATATCTGGAGATGCAAATTTTCAGTTAATTCCATAACATTTTCTGACAAAAGTACTTGTTTGATGTTAGCATGATTGTGTTGTGTTTTTCTTTTTGAAAAATGTGGTGAAGGTTGCTAGGTGGATTAACAGCTACTTACTGTTTTCAGTATTTCTTTGATAGATATCATTATTCTAAGAAGTAGACAAAAGCTCTGGGGCATTTTTTCATTCAATCCTACAAAACTTTATTTTTGAAACTTGTTGGTGAGGAAAGAACCATGCAATGAAATCAGTTTTCAGACTAGAAAACATACAATATTTCCCCATTTCAGGAAACAGGGAGTGTTTCCTTTTATCTTAATTTAGGAATTCCCTAATAGGAAATTCCAATTTTGTGTTTGATTATTAGCCTCCATCATCTATGGCAACATTTAACAGCTATTACCTGAGAGACAATCACAGAATGTCAAAGTGTATTAGTTCTACTTGAATTTTTTGTTTTTCTAACTGCTTTCAAAATAGACTCTGAAAACAACAACTAAGGGCTTTAAAACAAACAAAAAAAAATCATGTGCTGTGCTGTGAGGTAAGACCTTATTTTTTGCTGTTCTTTGTTTCAGATATGCATATGCCTTCTGATCACAAACAGTACATTCTGATCCTGGTGTTCAGGATTCACACTGAGCAGCTGCTCTGTTGGTTTCCCTGATGTTATGTGGTGGCAGACAAAGCTGTTCAACAGACCAAGTGTTCATTATGAAATTATGGTTGTCCTGTCAGCACTGTCCCCTGCAGCTTGATCTCGTCCTACAAACATCTTTTACTGAGGGCATTGGGACTATTCTTGCATAGATGCTTGCAGGACTGCAGTATACAACACTATTAATTGAACTTTTCTACTTCCTCAAACTTTTCTAGTATGCTGAGATACTGGATTCAATGGTCTAACAAATATCCTCAAACACAAAGCAAAATAGGATATTTACTTCCATTATAATAATCTCTTATTTGAAGACCACTGTGTTCCCCTCTGTTCACAAAAATAAGCTATATAAAGTTAAAAGAGTATACAAATAACTGTCTGATATACACATTAAAACCTAGCTATTAAATCCAGAGCATTGCTATAGAAAATTCAGTGTTCTCAAAATTACCTGGCATTAGCTACAGTGGATTTCTTGCAGTTACACTTAATATCCCTTTGGATGCAGTTAAATTCCTCCCTCATGATTAAAGAATGGGGGAAGTGTTTTAAAATCCACAAAAGCAAAATATAAAAACAATTTGAACAAATTAAGAGACTAGATATATGAAATTTCACTGAACCAGCCAGTGCTTCTACTTGCCTTTGCCCTCACAATTAGTTCTGAACCTGGCTCAGGCTTTCCACAGGAACAATGAAGTGCAGTGATACCTCCCCTCCCCCAGACATTTGCTCACTGGGTCAATACAGAGAACTGACATCCCACTCTAAGTTTAGTCATGTTTTGCTCATTTAAGCATTACAAAGCCAGAGACATAACTTCTTTCTTAAATATTTGTGATACATTTACCTTGGGGTACTTTTAATCACGAAGTACAATCATCCTTTCTTGACTTGTGAAATACAGCTTTCAGAGGGCCCTGATCTGCATTACTGATAGGTGCATAAAGTGATTCACTGTTGTAAACTTGGAAATCAATAAGGAATTAGCTTCAAGCATTTGTTCTTCCAAACATTACTGTCTTAGTTTATGTTAACTGCAGTCAGAATGGTATAATAATGGACCTCTGCTGTAAAGAGACTTGCAGGTCGTGTTCTCATTGGCTACAGCTTAATCCCAGTGCAACTGTAGATCTTGTGGATCTAGAAAGTCAGTGGAAAACACGCTCGGGGCAGCAGAACTGAGAGGGGTGAGTCCAGATGAGGAGCTGGGCATTGTAATGTCCAGCCATTCCATATTGTCCAAATTTGTGTCGGGAAGGTCAAGAGACAGACAAGAATTATTAGTAGTAAACTGTGGGTCAGATGTTTCCATGGGTGAATGAGAGTGATCTAAAATGCTGGAGTGATTAAGCAGATCATTCTGGAGATCTTCAATTAAAGAAAATGACTCTCTGTCCTCATTACTGCTTGTCAGTTGAGGAATTTCATTACCTGATGGTAAAGTTCCATCCAAGAGGGCTTCAAGTTGGTTTTCCAAACTTATAGACAAGCTGGTTGTTGGTTCTAAGGACACAGGAGGAGGGGCCATCTGGATCTGCGGAGGTGGGCGGGATATCACTGTGTTCACTGGCATTGTAGTGATGTTGGCTGTCACTGGTCTCATTTTAGATATGGGAGATGGTTCTTCTTTTATTGGAAGGGAAATCTCTGTAATAAAAAAAAAACCCCACTGTTGAATTCAAACAGCTGATGACATAATATCCTCATACTTAGAAACTCCAGCCCACTTTGGGATGCATCCACAGTGAATTAAGTGCACTAACAGTCACTTTGCTATTCCACTCATATTTTTTTCAAAAAGATGATCATTAATTTAGCTTGAGTTGTTGAGTACTCAAGTTACTTATCTCAGTCTACCCACATTTTCTGCAGGTGACCTTGCAATTTGCTTTGAAAAAGAAAAAAATACTCTGATGTTTAGAATACAGCTGATCTTCCAGTTGCCTAGAACCAGTCCCTCTGCCCTGACATTCACTCCTGTCGAGATCATTCCATTAATTGAATCACTTGGCACCACAACATTTCTCACCATTGTAATGCCCTCTTAGGCTACTAAGCCTAATTATGGGAGAAAGCCTCCTTCTTTTATTGCTGAGCTACTCTGTTTATTACTTTAGTTGTATCAGTGCCTTTCTGATAGCTCCCTTATTTTAACTGACATAAAGTTGTTATTCATTAATGTCTCCGTGTAGTTCATGCACACTTTTCCCAGTAATGTATCTTTGCTGTTTATAGTTGATAAAACATGGTTATATTTAATAAAATTTTACTGTCAACATGCTTTAACTCTTACCTTATTCTATTCTTTCTATAATTTCAATAAACATGTTAAGGACTTGCTCAACTTTTCCAATTTTGATGAAGTATGTCTGTGCCAACCTAAGGTGTTATTTTAATAATTTGAATGCTGTTCAGAGATTATTGTAAAGGTCTGCCTGAGCTAATTTGCAAGCATGAAGTTCCACAGAAGGTTGACCATATGTGTTTTGGGAAGTGTTTTCTTTAATAAGGAACTAAGCAAACTTCCATAAATTTAGCTTCATTCAGGCTAGATAGATTCTAACTCCTGTTCCTAAAAGAATTCTCATTTGATTATAGCAGCGCGTTTTTATTACCAGGTTTAAAATCTTTACATCACACAGCTGTCAATGAGCTTACCTCCACTCTTGATAAGAATATCAAAAAGATCATCCATCTGCTGACTGTGTGCACTGGAAATCTGTAGTGCAGGAGAACAGGGTTATTCTCTTCCATGTGGTATTTTTTCCTACACTCATTGTTCCTAGTTTCTATCAACAGTATAAAGTATAGTTTAGTAAGTACTAAACTATAATAAAGACTGAAATCCTTAATATGAAATTGTCTATCTAGAAAACAGATACTTTGGAGAGATATTTGCAGTCTCTGTGGCTGGTTTCAGTACAAAGGAATAGGGAAAAAGTGTGACAAAGACTTCATGAAGGCAACCTAGAGAGTGGTGCAGGAAGCTACATAGTAGGAGAGTTACTAACCCCATTTTGTACCAGCATAATGATAACTGCAGCACTTTGGGGGTTGCAAACCCTGCTCCACTGTCTCTCAAAGACAGCCTGTGAATGTCCATCATGTAAGATGCATTTTATTAGGTGTCTCTGGGGTTTTTTCCCAATTTGCAGATTTATGTTCTTTTATTTTTTAAAGGGGGGAATAAGCTTTCAGGAAATGTTCATCTTTGTTTTAAACAGCCATCCCCTAAATAACTGAACCTTAAGCAAAAGGTAAGAAAACCTCCCACAAACCCACTCATTCAAAAAGTGGAGACTTTCATGAAGGTCTGAAGAAGTGTTTTAAACCATTGCTTATGCTCCAGGGATGGGAAGTTATTTGTCATCAGGAGATCTAGTGGTGAGGCCCTGGCTGACTGGTGGTGATAGAGTGACCTAAGACACCCTGTGTGCCCTCACTGTGGGATGTCCTGCACATGCCAAGGACACAGGGAAGGGCATTAGACACCCATAGCTGTGCCTGAGATCTGCCACCACAAAAACCCAACCAACACAAGGGGCTACAGGGTTTTATCTTCTGGGATAGTTCTGAAGCACACGAAATCAGGAAAAAAACCATTATTACTCATACTGACAAAGCACTACACAGGATTATTCAGCAAGATCACTCAATACAGACTCTTTTCAAGCAAGCACCTATGCTCATGTTTGCCTTTGTGTATAAACACATTCACACAAATTCTCCTCAAATTTACTCACTTTGGAAAATACAAACGTATTTCCTCTCTTAAGTGTGAGGTTTGTGTATCACACATTCTCAAAACAAGTAATCTGAAGGCTAGTTACTGTTAGTAGCAACAGCAGCATTATCCCAATTATCACCAACTGGGAACTGTAAGACTTATTTACATATATGCTGCTTCAATAAAAGAATAATGAAACAGGAGTCCTGTAGTTAAACACATGTAGTTATGAAACTAGTGACAGGGTATGTTAGAAAATCTTGACACCAAACAAAAAAAAAATCAAAATCTAAAACAAGCAATGGTTTTGGCAATTGTAGAGAAAAGCTTTGTTTATCAAGTACCTCGCGGTGCGACGGCTGGATGCTGCGCGTCTGTTTTATGGCCTCTTCGTAACGAGGAGGATCTTTTGTCTTGGACACTGTGTTGTTGAAGAGGGGTTGCTGAACAATGTAAGGCTGGGCTTGAGATGGAGACCCAGGCTGAGTGAAATAACAAAATAATGACTAAATAATGTGATTTAGTGAATTCAGGATCAAGCTGTACAGATTATGGTATTTTGTCACATCAATCCATGTATTAGCGTAATCAGAGGGATAAAATAATTTTCTTTCTCCCTCTCTAACACATATGCACATATCAGCATTATTAAAATCTACAGAACATTCTTCCTTGAGTGAACTGCAATATGTAAAGTCACATGTTATATAAGAAGAATAATATAAACCTGAACTTTATGGAAGAATGTTGGGATAGCCTTACCTTGTTGGGAGCAGCAGGTCCATTCTGCACAGAAGGGACCTGATTACCACCAGGGTGAATGTTAGAGTTTGACGTTTTATTAATAAAAGGTTGTGAAGGTGTTGAAACTGGTGCAGTCTGATAGGAAAATACTGCATTTGATGTGACAGGTGGAAAAACCTGAAAAGGATTAACAGATCAGTCTCAGATTGTGGGTTTTTTATTTAAAAAAAAAAAAAAGGTAACATTGGATATATTACATTAATGAAATATAAAACCTTTTTTTCTAAAATAGTTGCTTGCTTAAATTCCCTATTAATTGAATGTTATTTATACTGATTTTTCCTTTAAAATGAATAATTTCTAAATTCAAAACAGTTAGTTTCCGAAAGAAACTTTGTGCTCTGACACACTTTCATTCATCACTCATTACTAAAAACATTTTCCTGCAATTTTCCAGGAAGCACAAGGAAAGTGTATGGAACAGTTCAACAGCATATCCATGATGTCCCCATCTAGTGGACAGTCTAGACAAATGAGCTTATTTCTGACCTGATACAAACTGTACATATATCCACATTTGCCCTCTCCTGCCAGTTTTAAGACAGAATGGTTTGTCTCTGCCATATAATTCTAATTTTTTTTTTGAAAGTAACTACAGGTATCTATGAAGATTGCGGGAGAGGCAAAAGATAAAACTGATGAACACAGGTTATCAACTGTGAGTTTGGTTACTGGTATATGAAACTTTTTATTTCTTCAACTGGTAGTCCACATATTCACTGCAAACGATTCCCAGCAGTATCCTGTTTCTCATACTTCTGAGTTAAAGGGAGATGAAGAGAAGCTATGAATGCATGAGCACGTAAGGCTGTTTTAAATTCAGTATCACTCCCAAATACCTTTATAACAAAGGTGACAAATCTTAGGTCATGGATGGAGAGAGGTAGATCTAATGCTGAATGCATGAGGCGTGTCCTGATCTGGTGTATCACATCAATATTTTGATTTTGATGTAAAAACTAGGGCAGTAGCAGGCTGCAAACTCTGCTGGGAACTGTGGTCTTCATAACAACTGATCTGAATAGAGGGGAGGATTGGAGGGTACAGATCTTGGTTATGTCCTACAGACATTTTAAGGAACTTGGAGGCAGCAATGGCAGCAAGCTGCCAGTCTCTGGTACAAGTACATGCCTCAGGATGATTGGAAAATTTCTCTATAGGACCTGTTTCATTAACAAGGTAAGATTAGCCCCTCACTAAATACCAGAGAACCTGCACTAAATCTTCTTTTTGGATGTATGTCAGTTTTGACTTCTGGAGGATAACCTCAATGTCCATGGAATTAAACAGACTGAACAAGCAGTCTGAAGAGTATGGATGCTCTTTTAGCTGTGACCCCTTTATTACCCAGCTCTCCAGAGAATGGCAAAGCACAATCATACATCTTCTAAGGTACGTTCTTATCTGCAACAAGAGCCCAAGCAGAGGCAGATAAGGTTACATTGCTCAGGTACAATCCCCAATTCACAGCAGAACATGGGGCTAATGATGCACTTTTGTAAACTGAAATAAGAACTTCAAAGGCTGAGATATGACAGTTACATAACACACTGTAAAAAATGACCCTCTTCATCTTGGAATTTGAGTTGTTTCTGAATTATCTGTCCCTAGGGGCAGGTTGAAAAACCTTGCTGTCCACTGATAAGGATGCAATAAAGGTCCAAAACTAATCTCCACGTTCCTAATAATAGAGGTCAGTCTAGAAGAGGCTCAGAGGAGGAGAAAACCTTTTCTTCTGTGATGACTGGTGCTGATGGATTGGTATCAGTTCCCGTATGAACATGACTGGAGTGGCAGTCACAACTGTACATCCACTGCTGAGGAACATGTGCTGGAATGGGACATTACAGAGCTGATTTGTTTTGGTAGACAGGAAGAGAAGGATCTCTGAATCATACCCTGCATTCCTTAGGAAGAGGTATGGTAGGGTTTTGACTCACTGGAATTACCATCCTCAGGATCTGAGTCCATAGCTTTCTTCATAAGGGGGGATGAAATCAACAAGGAAAGTCAGAAAACCAGAATTAACTGGTTAATTGGAATTAACTGGTTATAAAGGAATAAATCTTTGAAGTTTTAAGTAAAAGCTTTCTCTTAAGAGATTCTACGAGAATCTCCCATTCAGAGCCAGTGGCAAATCAGAGAAACTGACTGGAATATACCTGGTACACACCACTTGTGCCAAGCATGAGGAAGGATGTAGTAAGAGTCATGCCTTAAGTGTACCACTGAGATAAAAAGTCTTTAGACAATGTATTTATTTGCAACTGAAAAATAAAGTCCTGCACGGACTAAAATTTTGGAAAAAGAAGGAGTTACAAGCCCATTGTATCACTTAGAAAAATATGGTACAGATGTTAGGTGACTTGATCATTTGTATATAACACAGATGACACATAAAAGATTCTAAAAGTACTGCCTAGAACTAGATTATACAAGTATTTATCTTAATGTTTATTGCTATCCACAAACCTTTCTGATTTGTTGGGTCTGATCAAGTGCGTGCTGCGTGATGGTATTTTGTTTTGATTGTGGAGCATGCATCTGAGGTGCTGTCTGCACCAGGCCAGAGGAAGAAATAGGAGCAGGTATTTGTGATGGGGTCTGTATTCCAGCTTGTGATTGAGCCTAAAGGATGAAGATAAAATATTTGAATTATTTGTACCTCACAGTAGTTACATAATGTAAAAATCTATTGCACCCCTTATGCAGAATAGCAGTAACATGTATTCTGGGAGGGATGAGTGGGAACTGTTACTATGTTTGGTACTGGGGAGTTCCCAGCTAAAAGGTGATGTTTATTTTGCCAACAGAGTTTAAGACAAAGACAAACTGGAGAGAGCCCAGCAGAAATGCTAAAAAAAAAGGGGACAGAGAGAGCAGATATCAGTAAGAAAGGACTGTAAGAACTGCCTTGAGTAATCAGAAGACAAAACTGATAATGCAAGAAAAAGGTTGCTTTTAAGACCATGGTAATTTTTAATGGCCAGTGAAAGGCAAGAAGTGTGTCTAACCTCATGAAAAACAATTTTAAGTGATAGTGGAAAACTTTCTGGAGTATAGGTGAAGTAAAATACCTGGACAAGCTGCTTAAGGTTGTTACAGAATTC